ATTTTGCCTAAAAATTAAGTACTGTCCAAACCCAGTCATAGATTTATTCATAGATCCAGTCAAAGATGTATTTTAGTCATTTTTGGTTTAAATTGAGATCCCGTCCCTTTATAACTCACTTATCCTCCACCATTCCCAAGTCAAGGGTCGTATATACTGACCCAATAGCATATCTTGAAAACTAGAGCCAATCAACAATTTTAAGCATCATTTTTGTTCTCAGTGACCCAGAATTAGTAAAGTTTGACTACATTTATTTCAGAAGCATTTTGGCTGTAGAGCAGTGTAATTTGTCAGTTTCATACATTGATATTTTTCCATAGTTACGTTAAGGATGACCAACAAAGAAAAAATGTGTGCTTTTTTTTATGTTCCCTTGTGATGTGGAATATATTTCGTTTCCTTTTTCTTTTCTCTTTTTTTTTCCTGTGGGGGAAGATTTTTTTGCTTCTTTGTTTTAACCTTAGACTATCAGGTATGTGAAGCCATATCTTTTTGTTTTTTGTCAGAAGACTTCTCAAAATCAGATGTATGGTATGCAAAGTAGTTTTAATCCTTCTTTCATGGTAAAGAATGCATGAAATGACTACCACTACTCAAACCACATGTAGAATGCTGCTGAGCAGTCCTTTATGTATTAAAGATAATGCAAAATCATTGATACTAAAATAGTCTTGTTCTTTTGATTTGGTATTGTGGATGCATCCATAACAATGCCATAGTTAAAGGTTGAGTTGAACATTTCACTTAAAGCAAGATTTAAAATCCCTCTATTGCACTTTTTGATTATTTGGGCTTCTATTATAATGTTCTACAGTTCCTAGCTTCTGATTTTTATTCATTACTGTCAATTTCCTGTGTCTTCCATTTGTCTATAAATATATAGTTTTTATAGCTGTTTTTACTTCCCCTCTAAATCAGGTCAGTTTTTTAGCCAATACAGCCTTCTTCCTTGGTTGTAGCATTTAGGCTTCTAGTAAAGAGTTCTTAAACAATTCCCAATAATCATTTGCATTTTTCTGGTTAAATTATTCTTCACAGTTGATTTGGCTCATAATCGTTTTTAGCTTTGTGAAATTGGCCCTTCTAAGATATCAAATATATATACTACTGGTCTGGACTTTATTCTGTTTTCACATTATAAATGTGATCGAGTCATGATCACTTGTACCTTAAGCTATCATTAATTTTTTAGTTCTGTGATGAGTTCCTCTGTATCTCTCAAGGCCAAGTCTTATACAGAATCCCCCCCCCCCCATATGTTGGCTGCAATACTTCTTGAGTTGGGAAATTATCTATAATATTAAGAAATTCCAAGGATGTTTTAGTACTGGCAGCATGAAACCTCCAGCATATGTCACTCAGATTGAAGTACACAATGATTAAGCAGCTTTTTTCTCTACACATTGTAGATAGGTGCATAAGGAATCAATCAGAGTATTCCCTAATGTGATATGGTAGTCTGTAGCAGGCACCAACTAAAATGCCATCTTGTGCTTTATCTGTTAGGACATTTATCCATAAGCATTCAGGATCATTTTCTTCTGAGCTATTGGTGATTCAAACAGGTAATGTCAGTTTTAACATGGGGGGCCATTCTCTCTCCCCCTTTGCTTACTCAATCCTTCCTAAATGGGTAATAGCTGTTGATTTTAACATTCCAATCGTGAATTATTCCACCAGGTCTAAGTAATACCAACTATATCTAATTTATGCTCATAAATGAACAATTCCAATTCCTCTTGTTTGTTACCCAGCCTTGTTAGCCAGCCTTCTAGCACTGGTGTATAGTTAAACAATTTCTTCTCTTCATGTCCTTTGGTTCTTTGACTAATTTTTTTGATATCTTTATTCTGTTCTGAGAGCTTATATCACCCCTCTTTTTACCCTCATGTTTTATTAGTTTAACCCCCTCCTGACTACTCTGTCCAGCCTGTTCCTGAGGCAGTTGATTCCCCTTCTACTGTGGTGGAGGCAATCAGTCTATACGGCCCTCTCTTCCCATAGAATGTGAACCAATGTTCTATAGAACCAAAGTCCTCCACCATTTATCTAGCCAGTGGTTCATTTCCAGAATCTTCTGCCTTCCTTCGCTTGCAGGACAGGCAGGATCTCAGAAAAAACATTCTTCAGCCCACTTCCGAGTTTCCTGCAGTCATCTATTATCTGTGAGATAGTCTATGACTCCGTGTCATTAGTGCTGATATGGATCATCACCAGTGGATGCTTGTCCAATGACTTAGAGTTATGTCTTGTGTCTTGAGTCTGGGAAGACAGCATGCCATCCTCTTGTCTGCTTTTCCCTTGCAGAATGTTCTTTTGATTAGTTGAGTAATGAATCCCCACCAAGGACACTCAGTCTTCCTTGGATGGTTGGAGATTTCTTTGTGGGCAAGCTTGATTTTTCTTACAGGTTGGCCAAGGTGGCATCCACAGGTGTGTCCTGTACATCTCTCTGTTCCCTGGACCAGCTGAATCTTGAGAAGTATTATCCGTACTTTCAATGTTGGGGATCTGGTGTTGATTGGAAAGTACTAGCTGTGTGGAATTCCTCCCAGTTGTCTTCTCCTTGGTGGCTACAGGCTGCCCATCCTCATCTGTGTCCAGCCATGTGGAATGCCACTGTGACCTCTTGCCTCTGATGGCCACAAACTTTTAGGCCTCCTTTAACATCCTCTGTCTTCAACTCCTCAGTGGCCAGCTCCTTTCTTCCTTGAGCCTGGGGTATTGGTATTTCCTGAACCTGACTGTCTGGGAACTCTTCAACTTCTCTGATTCTTAGTAATGTCTGTACTTGCCCTTCCAGTCCAAGAATCTTTCGCCAATTTAAAACT